AAAAATTTCTCAAATATAGTTTAGTGAGTTATTAAATTTTAAAGAAAAGAAAACATATATTTTAAATTTCAATTCAGGCTACCTAAGGGGAAAGATAAATGTGGTTGAGTTTAGGATGCGAGAAGATAATTGTGCAAGCAATAGGAATTCTATAACTAGTTAAGTTGTCACCAATGTGTAAAGCCTATGGAAAGTTATTATCAAACATAAAGGTCTTGGGAAATATTTTACCCAAGTACTTTTCATAAAAAATCTTCTTAACGATATAAGTTAGCCAGGATATTTTTAATAGTGAAAGTAAAAGTGCACAAGAATGAGGAAATCTAAGTATTTTCATTGAACATTAAGTAGGATAAGCATATAATTAGTCTTAAAGAAATGTAGTAATTATAGTTTAAAATGGTTTGCAAATGTTATAATTTTTAAAGAAAAATAAAGTAATGCTAAAATTAGAAACAAACCAATAATAACAAGATCTCAAAAATAGCATTATAATAAATTGGAGGAAAATCCAAGAGTACCCCAGAGTAATTACTTTTCATTTCTTATTTTACTGTGAGGAGAGGGGTGGAATTTATGACTGTCAATAGATTTGGTGTTAAAAATATAGTTTGATCTCATTTATAAACAGTGATATAAGAATCCCAAACAAATTAAATATCTGAAATTCAATTATAACAAATATTTATTGTACTTATATTAGGTTCATGGTCTAGGAATAGTATAGTAAATATGACAGATAAAATGCTGTCTCTCCTAGAGCTTATATTTTTCACCATGATAAATGGTGATTTATGCCAGGAAAACAAACATGGGTTAATACTTACGGCATCTACTTATATAATTCAGAATCATCAAGAGGTTTCCGGTTGTGCATGTAAGGAGCTTGGAAGTCACCACTCTGTCCTAAAAAAAAAACCAAAAGGAAAAACAGCAACTCTTCTATGATTACTAGGAGAGGTGAGGACAGGGCAAACCATTACCCCCAAGATTGGAGAGACAGACAGGCAAATACAGGGAGCGACAGCTTTCTGGAGCAGAGACCCACAATGGGGAATCTCAGAAGGAACCAGTACTAGAACCAGCAGTGGGGCAGGATAACCGGAACTGTAATCAACAAACTGCTGGGGGCTAAGTGTGGACGACTCTGACATTTAAAAACTCAGGGGGAACCAAGCATACGGGGACTCTGCAATTTTATGAGATTCACCTCCAGGAACTCCATCAGGTTCCCACAAATATCAGAGGAAAAAACCCCTCATGCTTCTGGCATGAGGATGCAACAAGGAGCCAGAGCATTCTGTTCTTCCTAGCAGGGCCTGCTTTCAGTAGAAACCTGTTGACTATAGCCTACCCTGCTGGGCTGTTATTGAGACTAACTGACCTGGGGAAGGGAAATACCCAATCCAGCTCACTCTAGCAATCCTCTCCCACCAAAGTGGGGAAAACTGAGGCATGGGCTCACTGAAAGACTGAGCCCTAATCTAATAGGACGACAGATGACTTCTCCTCTCCTTTCTCATCACATTACTTAAAGCCTAATTATAGCAGGTCTTTTTACCTGGTACATTAAGTCTGGCCATCAAGAAAAAACTATAAGGCATACCAAACAGCCAAAAACACAATTAGAAGAGACAGAGAATGATCAGAACTAGACATGGCAGAGCTGTTAGAGTTATACATGCAAGAACAGATGGACAATGTAAGGAGAGAAAAGAAAATCCTAAGAAATAGCCAAAAAGAAATGCTAGAGATCAAACCACTTTAACAAAAATGAAGACTGTCTTTGTCAGGCCCTTTAGTAAACTAAACATAACTAAGGCAAGAATCTCTGAGCTTCAGTCAGAGGAAGAGGTGACTATAGTGGAGAGACACGAAGAGATGCAATGATGCTGATTTTGAAGATGAAGGAGACCATAAGCCTAGCAATGTGGGTGGAAGGGCAAGGAGATGTATTTTCCCCTAGAGCCTCCAGAAGCAACACAGTTCTACCAACACCTGGAATTTTGCCTGGTGATACGTGTGTTGGACTTTTAACCTACAGATCTGTACAGCAATAATTTGTATAGTTTAAGCTGGTAGGTTTTTGTAGATGGTTATGGCAGCCATACTAACACAAAGCTAATACACTGACCATATCTACTATGATTATGAAATGCTGTGAATATGAATATTAGATAGGTAACAGCCATCATTACTTGTAGGTCATATAGCTGAAAAACTCAACAAACTATTAGAAAATATCAAGTGTTCAGACAAGAGAATCATCTACAGATTAATGTAAAAAGACAATGCTTTCTTATATTTAAACAATAAACAGAAAATATAAAGCAATAAAGACCCTAGTTACTGTAGCAAAAGGCCATGAAATACATAGAGTAATTTTCAACAAAAATGTGCAAGTGTCTTTGAAGAAAACTAATACACAATACTGAATAATATAAAATAACATGAAAAAAATTGCAGTTACTTTCTTTTATGATATAAACAGTCTTAATATTATAAAAAGTCTCTCATATTAAATTTAATAACATGCAAAACAACTTATCCACTGTCTTAATAACAGAAGCTTGTTCAAATTACTCTAAAATATATCCCTGGAAGATTAAATATACAAGATTAGGAAGAAAAATACCATACAAAATATTTTTTAAACTACAAAACTGTAACATGGTGCAATATACAGATCTTGTAACAGAAACCCACACCTGAAAACTATATGTTCATGTTGACCAATGTCACCCCAATAAATTTAATTAAAAAAACACTACAAAACTATATTAATTAAACCAATGTGGTATTACTTTAGGCTACAAAAGTAGTTCTGTTGACCATAATTGATTAGTGCAGAAGTATATTCAAATAATATAGGAATATATTTATTATACGATAAAATGGTATTTCAGATCAGTGATAGGAAATATAGATTTTAACAAATAGTGTTAACAGTAAAAGCAATGAAGATGAATTAATACTTTCTTTTATATGAAAATTAATTTCAGATAGCTTTTATATTTAAATATAAAAATTAAAGTAATGAATATTTTAAAACAGTGATATTATATTAAAATATCATTTTCTTAGGAATAGGAAGGCCATAGCACAGAACTCATAAACCATAAAGGAAGAGACTGACTACATTAAACATTTCTATATAAAGAAAAACATAAAGTCAAAATTCTAAAATCAAACTGTGAAACATTCTCAAGAAAATAATGCCATTTAATCCAATGTTAAATTGGGAAAAATACAGACATCCATTGAGAAAATAATAAATATGAATAGCCCATAAACATCAGAAGAGATATTCCACTTTACCTCTAATAATATAAATGCACATAAAATCTATGATATGCTTTCATTGTACCATATCAGATCAGTAAAGTGGGAAAATAGAGATAATATCTAGGTGTGGCCAGAATGTAGGGAATGGAAACACTCAAGTATAAGTTGAAATATGTGAGCGTTAGTACAATCTACTTGGATGACAGGATACTGAAGGATTTAAAATGTGTATGTCCTGTGATCCTTCTAATATGAATTTACTCTATGAAGATAATTGAAAAAGAATTCAATTATGTATGCACGTTCATTGAAGAGTTGTGTATAACAGTGAAATAATGGGGAAAAATCCAAATGTCCACAGAAAATGAAGTATGTAAGTAAAGTTTTTACATCTATAAAATGGAGTATAGATATATGATAATTATATGGATTTATAGCTATCTACTAATGGTTTCTAAAATATCATTAAAACCTATTTTTCCCTTAAAACATGTAAATGTTTATGTATTATTGTTGAGTGAAAAACAGGGATCTGATATTGAAGGGGTTTAGAAAAATGTTTATCAAAAGCCTGATGGTGGTTTCTCTGAATGGTGACAGTTTTTGTTGTTGATTAGTCATTTGTTTTTCAGATTTTTGTTGTCTTTAGTGTACCTTTATGCAATTTGGGGTTTTTTTTATAATAAAGGTTCATTTATTATTTTTGTAGACAAAATTAAACAAAACAAAAACACCAAGTTCAATAATGTTTTAGAAAAACACTTCAGATGCCTCATTGCAAAGCAATGATTCTGTTAAAATCATTTTTTGAACAAAACATTTCATTTACTTGGAACTATCTTAACAGGAAAAATGCTTAATTTCCTCCTAACAGATTTTCTGTTATGAAAAAATCTTAAAGTAGAAACAATTTCTTCAAGTTATGAATTTTGTTGTACAAAAAAAAAATGTGCTTTGGGCTGGTAAGTCTGCCCTATGATTTAGAGTCATCTCCCCCTTCCCCAAATATTTCCATTAGTATCATGATGGCCAGGCCACTCTCTGGTGGCCTAAATGTAATTGCAAAGTGGACTAGTAGATTTAGTGATGTAATATAAAAAGCCACAGTATTACAGTGGTGAAACAAAACATATTTCCATTAACTTCATTTTATAGTTAAGGCAAATCATGCTCAGAAGTAAAGTGGTTGAGTCAGACAGTGAGTCAATGACAGCTTGGAGACTTGTACTGCACCTATGATTTGCAAGTTGTTCTCTGATGTGTTTCTCCTAGAGTGTGAAGTTGCTTAAGGGGCCTCCTGAATAGGCACAAATAAATGGAAAAATATTCCCCACTCATGGATTGGGAAAGTGAATAGTGTTAAAATGTCTAAACTACCCAAATATTCACATTACAAATTCAATGCAATTTCTATCAAAACTCCAATGGCCCTTTTCACAGAAATAGAACAAATAATCCTGAAATATGTATGGAACCACAAAAAGATCCTGAATAGCCAAAGCAATTTTGAGAAAAAAAAGCACAAAATTGGAGGTATCACACTTCCTGATTTCAAGCTATAATTACAAAACTATAGTAATAAAAAAACGTGGTATTGGCATAAAAACAGACATATACATCAATGAAACAGAATAGAGAGTCCAGAAATAAACCCACACATATATGGTCAATTAATTATAACAAAAAAGCCAATAATATATAGTGGAGAAAGGATAGTTTCTTCAATAAAAGGTATTGGGGAAACTGGACAGTCACATGCAAAGCAATAAAACTGGACCTCAATCACACACCATACACAAAAATCAACTCAAAATTGATTAAGGGCTTAAATGTAAGATCTGAAAGCATAGAACTCCTAGAAGAAAACATAGGGAGTAAGCTTCTTGACATAAATCTTTGCAAAGATTTTTTTGGATTTAACACAAAAACAGACAACAAAAGCAAAAATACGCAAGTGGGACCACAGAAAACCAAAAAGCTTCTACATAGCAAAGGAAACCATCAATAAAATGAAAAGGCAACCTATGGAATGAGAGAAAACACAATTGTATATCTTATAAGTGTTAATATTCAAAATATACAAAGAAGTCATACAATTCAGTAGCAAAACACAAATAATCCAATTTAAAAATGGGCAGAGGAACTGAATAGACGTTGTCTAAAGAAGATATACAAATAGCCAACAGATTAAATAAATGAAATGGTGCTCAACATCAGTAATTAGGGAAAGGCAAATCAAAGCCACTATGAGCTATCCCCTCACACCTGCTAAAATGGTTATCATCAAAGAGACAAGTGGAGACAATATAGAAAAAAGGAATTCTTGTGTGATGTTGTTGGAAATATAAATTGATGCAGCCACAATGGAAAACAGTATGGAGGTTCCTCAAAAAATTGAAAATAGAACTACCATGCAATCAGCAAACCCACTCTGAGTATATAGCCAAAGGAAATGAGGATGGCTCTTGAGGGCATTATGCTAAGTGACATAAACCAGACAAAGAAAAACAAATACTGCATGTATCACTTGTATGTGGAATCTAAAACAGAACAAGACAAAAATATTAAACTCACAGAACAGAGAATAGAAAAGTGGTTGCCAGAGGCTAGGGATGCAGGGGAGATAAAAAGAGGTTGGTAAAGGGTATCAATTTTTAGTTATAAGATGAATAAGGTCTGTGGATCTAATGTAAAATATGGTGACTATAGTTGATAACAACATACATATAATTTTCATGTTTAATAAAATAAAATACTGGGCCTAGAGCAGATAAAATGACTTGCTCAAGATATCATCTGGGCAGATTGCCATAATGAAGAGAATCATATCCTCCCCCCTTTCACACAATTAGCATTTTTGAAAGGGGTTAATAGATAAAGAGAGGTTATTAGATAAAGCACCTACTGTGTGTCAGGCAGCATGTGTCATCGGTGTGTTCACTAAAATGCATGTTTCCTACCATTCCATTCATTTGAAACAAAGAAAATATCAGACCCAGCACCTTTTGGAAGAAGCTTGGAAAGAAGCAAAAGTGGGATGCACGCACTTTGGTTGGAAGTGCTGAAAACTCCAAGGATTTCAGGCAGCCAACAGTCCTTAATGCCCTGCAGCTCCCACAATTGGTTTTTAGGGTCATTGTTCAAAGGTAGAACATGTCATTTCTATTTCCATTTATAACAGGGGTCTGCAAACTATGGGCTCTGAGCCAAATCCAGCCCTTGGCCTATGTTTGTAAACAAAATTTTATTGTGATGTAGCCACACCCATTTATTTGCATATTGCCTATATCTGCTTTTGCACTACAAAAAATAATTGTGACAGACATGCATAGCCTAAAAAGGCTGAAATATTTACCATCCATAATGGTAACTTACTGTCTGCAAGTCTTTAAAGAAAATGTTTGATAATCTCTTGTTTATTATATTTTTTAGCTTTCTTCAACACTTTTTATTGAAATTTCCCACTTTCCCAAAGCCCAGGAATGAATATTAATTCTATTGCTGTTTTTTTAAACTTTTGGCAAGTTGATTATTTGTAGACATAAATATTCTGGCACAGTCTCTAGCACACGTGAGCCCCTCTGTATATACACCATAGTGATGGAGTGATTTCTTGGGTTTCACACCCTTTTATTAAGGGTTGCCTGTGGCTGTGGGGGTGGGGTGGTGTCCCTACACATTCTAGTTCAGGGGAGAAAACAAGAGAGCTGTGTGGTCCAGGGGTCTGGTGTTTTTTCCCCCCTGTTACTACTGGCAGACTCATTAAGGACTAGTTAGGGTTGGAAAGCAGGTGCCCAGACAAGAATGAGTCTTGGCTTCATTGTGTAGAAGCCCTGAAGTCTGAAAATATCATGTTAAAGCAGAAGTCTTAGGTCTATTTTCAATGTTGCAAAACATCCAACCTGAGTCTCTCTTTTCAATAGTGAAAAGCAAAGAACTGATTTTGTTTCCATTTTGTGTTATAGAACAGTCTTAGTGAAGTAAGAAGCCTTTTTGGAGTACTCAAGTTGATCCTAATGGTTGCATATTTATAGTTTTCTTTTTCTTGGTCTTGATTTTCAATGTATACTTACATTTCCCTGCTTTTTCATTTCACTTTATTTTTATTTCAGTGTTTGCACTTATGCTATACAGTCACTTAGTGGAAAGAAATGGGGCATGAATGCATATAAACAAATATCCAGATAAATAAATCAGCCTCATGGAAAATGTGCACTTGCCCAAAAGAAGTCCAAGCAGCCTACAAATATGTTAAGTTTCTATGCTTGGGGATGGAATTTCTTGGACTGTGTCTGGTAACCTTGGTTATCTCATGTGGATCAGAAGTTCTGATTGTCTGACGATGCCATTTTTGGACTTTCTGAGGTCCTTGGGGGGAAAACATAAAAAATAGTCTCTAGCAATGAAAAGCTTGAGCACCACTATATTAAAACACATCTCCCAGACCTTAACCATGGCCACATTGGGGATGTATTTTCCTTGGCACAGTCTATGAGCAGTTACTTTGCAAATGCATACAGGAGAGTGATACAGCTTCTTGGAAGAATGAGCCAGAGTTCATGGAAAATATTGAAAAGTTGAAGGGGCTATTTAAGATTTTTGAGAAGAATAGTGCAGATCTAAAAATTATACACAGAAGTGGCTTTGGGAAGCAGGTATGATGTCGACAAAGATTGTCGCCAGTGCTCCTTGGCCCTTATTTAGAACTTTGCCCCTCCATCATCTTCTGTGTTTCTTCCTGTCCTAGCTCAGTTTAAATTGATTCCTTGTACCTTTGACTTGTCCTTCCTTCTGCTCCCCTCATGAAAACCTATCTGTCCCTTAGAATTTTGCTCTTTGCTTGGGCTAATCTGATAAGCAAATCTGTGTTAAGTCATATAGAAATGGGCCCCAAATGTATTAAACCACTTTCTCTTAAGGGACCTACTCAGAGATAACCTTTGGAATTTTAGTCATTCTGACAACCAAAATAAACTAGGGTGGAGTGAAAGTAAGAGTGAAAACCAGCCATCACAAGACCTGGGTTTTGTACCAGCTCAGTCATTGATTATGTGGCTTTGAGCAAGTTATAGAAACTCTTTAAATATCACATTGCTAATCCGTAATATGGGGTTAGGAATCCTAAATGGACAGACTTGTTATGAGTAACAGATGACTTGATTATGATGTGAAAATATCTTATAAACCCTAACCATCTGCACAAATATACTATGTCATTATTATTATAAATAATTACATTTTTTATTTCATGCCACTGTGACAGTTGATACAAGGCTATTGTGAAAAAGCAGAAGATAGCTCAAAGTGATGTGTTGAGTGCATCTCGGAAATGCATCCTGTTATTTGGTATTTTGGAAGACTCTGAACAGGACTAGCATAGGGCAGAGATCACTTTCTGCAAGGCTTTTAGCCAAGTGTGGGATAAATTATTGTATGGTTACAGTGGTTCCCAGCTATTTGAACAATTTTACCAAAGTAGGAAGTAAACTAATATTAAAGTGCACCCTCCATGTGACAGTCATTTTTCTAGGCATTATCTTAAAATCATTTCATTCTTACAATAACCCTGAAAAGAAGACAACTAAAAATCAGGACATGAGGAAATGAGACTTGGATATGTTCATTAGCATCTTCCCCCCAATGCTCTTTCCAGCATGTTTGGAATCAGCTAGGTTAGCTACATGGTGAGTCTCCTGGCCCATCTTAGGCTTGTCATTACATGAGCATCACATTCACAGATGACAGAGCTCAGAATAATCCCTGAGGCTTAGTTGGTAGGACCAGGATTCAGAATAATATAGGAGGACCAAAATAATGGGCCCAAAGTACAAGATGTAATATGACAAGATGAATGCAAAGTCTTTTGTGTAGCTTTGACAAATCAATTGTCCAATGAGAAGACTGAAAAAACTTGTACATGATGTGTATGTTGGGGGTTGTCCTAAGAAGTGTAGATAAATAATAAGTCAATAGGAACTCAAAGTGTGCTGTGATTGCTAAAAAAAGCTATAAGGCTGTATTTATAAAGTAGATTGCTCAAATTAAAGGAGGTGATGCTGCACTGTTATCTATATTGAACAAACAGATACTGACTGTATGGTACTCTGATCAAAACTACTCTTCAATACTGCTGGTAAATGACAGATCATTGCGTGTTTGGCCAGGATGGGAGGACATCAGAAACTATATGAAATAAAGAGCAGATCAGGTGGTTGTATTTAGAAAGAACAGAAGCAAGAATGTACTTGACACTTTAAAATATATGGATGGTTGTCAGAAGGAAAAAGAATTAGGCTCATTGATCACATGTCTGAACAAAAACCCACGAGGGAAATGTTAGGAATGCAGAATTTGGCTCACATAGGAAAGAACTTTCTTTTCCTATTTTTAAAACAACGAGGTTTACTTTTACTGAAATGAAATATTTGCTCATTACAGAATTTTTATAACATACAAAAACAAAACTATAAAGAACAATTTAAAAATTGGCCATGACCATCTAGAGATAATCACTGTTAATACCAGGATTCACAGGGTAAGAACTATGCAAAGCCGATGAAGTTTTGCTGGGGGTTATGGTACTTTGAGCAGATAAAGAAGGAAACATCCGATAGTCTCTTCTAAATGCTGATTCCATTCTTTATGCTTCTATATTAAACAAATTCAGGCCTTTTTATCCACTCATCTACTGATGGGCACTGGAGTTGCTTCCAAATCTTGGCTGTTGTAAATAATGCTTCAATGAACATAAGGGTGCCTATATTCTTTCAAATCAGTGTTTCAAGTTTCTTCAGGTATATTCCCAGAAATGGAATCACTGGATCATAATGGAATATCACTTGGCCATAAAAGAGAAGGAAATTTACCTTTGCGACAGCATGGATGGACATGGAGAGTATTTTGCTAAGTGAAATAAGCCAGTCAGAAAAAGACAAATACCATAGGATTTGATTTGATTTTGTGGAATTTAATGAACAAAAATAACAGATATGGAAAACAGACTGACAACTGTTAGAGGGGAGACAGGTTGGGGGACCTGGTCAAAAGGGTAAATGGACTAAGCAAAACAACTCCAAAAACTCATAGATGCAGAAAATAGTATTGGTGATTGCCAGAGGAATAGGGAGAGGTTGGAGAGAGTAAAGAGAGGATAAATGGTGACAGAAGGAGACTTGACATTGGATGGCGAATACACAATACAATACACAAATGATGTATTATAGAATTGCACACCTGAAACCTATATAATCTTATTAACCAATGTCACCCCAATCTATATAGATCCGACTGTCCGACTGACTGACTGGTACACATGATGCGCACTGGAAATTTAAAAATAAACGTTGACTCACATATGCACGATATATATAAAGCTCTCACTGGTGCCAATAGCCAATCGCATATGACGCCATAATGTATCTGAAGACA